GAAACCAAAAGACAAAAAAAGAGCAGATATATATATATATATATATATATATTTAGATCTCTTGAGGAAAGGGTTAATGAGTTTTATTCCCCCCCACAAGGTTTTACAATCATACAGGTGAAGCCCAGTTTTTAATAGAAAAAGATGGTAGTTGGTGGCAAGGATGAGAATGTTCTGCTCTCCCAGAGCTTCTGATTAAATTCTAGGCTCCCAGTAGAAGAGGAGTGCTAACTGGAATTTGCGTAAGGACTGAGAAAACAATTTTGGTCAAGATAGTTCCTGACTTCATGAAGCATCTATGGATATTATCTTCTCTCTCCCAGTGACACTCTATGATAGCTGATGTCTGATTCCATCCAGAAACTGAGGCTCAGAGAGCTTGAGTCACAAGTTCCTGGCCACAAAAACTGTTCAAGCTCCAAGTCCATTCTCTTTTCTTCGAATTGTGTCCTCTCTCCTGTGTGACTAGGATAGTTACCTTAGCACCCAGTCAAGTGTCTATCCCATGTGAGTTGCCAATATTTGTTTACTGAGTGAATAATTTAGTTGACATAAAGTCCTACATGCACACGGATATGTATACTGACACATTTCGATCTTTTAAGAATTTTTCTTAACTGGATTGGAAAAGTAAGTAAGTTCAAATCTGTGGCAACTTGAGAAGTCTAAATGTTTTCCTTGTTTCATTTTCCTACAACTAGAAGGATATGAACATGGCCGTAGGAACACATTTTTCGTAGACTTGTTCATGTTATTCTTTGCTTTGACATTTGCCAAATACTTAAAAAAATCTAGGGTGATTATGCATGTGGACCATTCTGTCTTAATCAAGATCTGCTCATCACTGTTGTGATGGAAAGTCCAATCTGGCCAAAGGAAAGATTACTAACCAGTTTTGATAAATGGCTTGTGGCTGTCAGCAACATTGATTCCAGCAGATCTCAGACAATAATTTGAGGGTGTTTTATCTTTGTTGGGTATTGGAAACTTTAAATTATTTGACCAGGACACTTATGTGGCACACCCTTATGTGGATGTAATATATCTCTAATTTGGTAGGAAAGAGTCAAGTTTCCAAAAATTTGGAAAATCAAATCTTTGCTACGAAAAGTAAATTTCACTTAATCTGCAATCTTTGGAGCTCTGTGGGGCTGAGAAAGCACTTGTGAAGCATATACTACAGACAGTCAAAGCCAAAACAGACAGGACTTCACCTTTCTGGGTCACTGCTTTGCTAAGGAGACGCTCCTGAATGTCTTGCAGGTGGGTTGTGGGGTGAGTGGCCAGAGGCTGCCTGGGTTACACATGTTTCTAATACTAAGTTCTATGCTTGACTTTAAACTTGTTCCCACATTTTAAAATCACAGGCAGATGTAGCAGACATGTTCCAGCAGTAAGTTTTCTCCACTGCAGACTTTATGGTGGCTCACCTGGCTCCACATTCTTTTTTTTCAGAGACTAGTGAATTAATGAAGTGTGATGAGTTTTTCTTACGCAACCCCATGGCAAGGTCCAAGCCATCCTGAATGTTAGAAATGAGGCCCAGATGACACCCGAGAGCATCAGTGTGGTCTTGTCTCCCTGTTCCTCACTCAGCAATGTACTCAATGTTGCTGAGTCTCAAATGCATGGGCAGGGGCATGAGTGCGCTTCTCCATGGAGTTATGGTGAATTCCACGGGGCATTATCAGCCTCCTGACAGCCTCTCAGGGGCCCTCATTCCATCAGTACTTATTTTACTTTCTTGCCTTGGCTTTTGCTCTTTGCTGCTGCCTGATTTGAACAATACATTCCTTTGGCCCAGGTAAGAGAGTCACCTATTCTGGGTGCTGCGTTTAGAGAATCCCACTCCAGCTTTTCCTGCTATGCCCCTCCCCACCTGACAAGACAAACATGTGAGCCTGGACCCGCTGGGAGCCTGCTCCATCCTCCCCACTTTCTAGATAATGCTGTGACCCCAGAATTCCCTAACCAACCAGCCCCAAGTCTCCTCTGAGGCATGTGTCAGCTCATCCCAAGGGGGATCCACAGCATTCGTGCAACTCCATGGTAGTGCCTTTCTAAAATTCTACATGCAGGCTGCATGCCCCTCATCACAGGGCAGGGGCAGCTGCGGGGGTAGTTATTGGGAAGCAGAGGCTGCAGCTTGACTCCCAGGCTGGATGGTCCACACTCAGGCTCGGGGGGCCCCTGTGCTGTGGGAGCAAGCAGGAGCTGGTGGGGAGAAGGCACAGGTCTGGAGGCTGAGAGCCTTCAGTTCTCCTCTAATCCCACAGTGTCAGAGCTGGGCCTGGGCTGTAGATCCTTTAGAAGCATCAGCATCCTCACAGGTCACACCTTCAGCCCCTGGTGCTTCCCACCCGGCAGGTGAGAAGCACCAGGCCCTGTGGTCCTTGCACCAGCCACACCTGAGGAGGCCCTGCAGGGCTTGGCCCCTCCCTATGAGGGCATCAGGAAAGTGGAACCTCTGGCAGGGTCTTCCCTCTGGAGTCAATGCCAGGCTAACTCAGGACTCTCCCACGGTCTCAAAGGCTGGAGTAGGGAGTGTGATATGCCATTGTTACTCCAGATGTGGCTTATCACAGCATTTGCTGAGGGCTGGCAATAAAGTCACTCCCAGCACCTCCCCTCCTTAACCATGTCTCCCTTCATCCCACACTCCCATTGATTCCACAGGGAAGCAGCTGAGAAAGCTGGGCACTGCTGCTCACTGTCCAGGCCCCTATCAGCAGAGAACAGGCAGGATAGGGAAAAAGGATGTAAGGACTCTTGCTAAGCGCCGGGAGCCCTCTGCAGACAGTGCTGCTCTCGCTCTGCACAGCTCCCACGTGGCAGTGCTTTCCTGCTGCTTTACGTGTAGGTACGTGGAGGCCCAGGTAGTTACTCAGACTTCTCTGGGACCTGCTGTTTGGGAGCAGTTGGAGTTTGAAAGCAGCTCTGTTTTCTTCCATATATCTGTTCTTCCTATTGCTTTAAACATCTGCACGACATTGTCCTTCTAAAATTCTGCGTGTCCCAGGACATAGGCACTCTTTCTTTCTCCAGACCCTGCTGTGAGCCACACATTAGGCTGGGTGGCTCACTCATCGTATAAGGCAATCTTAAGTGGGACAGTGGTATGTTGTGTTTATAGGGTAAAGCACAGTCATGCAGGGATGGCACATAGCACAGGCATACATGCATATAAACACATGAACATACACACACATGCATACACATGTGCACAGATACATACATGCACACCCACATGCAGAGACATGCACACACATATGCACAGGCACATACATGCACATTCACACACAGAGACATGCACACACATGCATACACATATGCACAGATACATACATGCACACCCACATGCAGAGACATGCACACACATGCATACACATATGCACAGACACATACATGCACATCCACATGCAGAGACATGCACATACACACACACTCACAAACCCTACTGCTTGATTGACAGAGTGGTCATTGGTTCCGAGGTCAGAGATGTTGGTATATATTTGTCCTAATCAATCACTTTGCAAAAATCCCAGACTTTCTGACCAAATGTGGCAGTAAGATCAGGTCTCACCAAATTTTGACTGGATTCCACTTATTAAGATCCAGAATGGTTTCTACAAAGAGTCATGATTAAGATGTCAGCCTTCTCTGTCCGTGTTCTGGTACTTTCCAGCCACATAGAAGCCAGTATGCTCCATTGCTGTGACCGTGATTTTAGAGAATATTGAACAGATTCCTGAGCCGCTTCCCCATGGGTGAATGTATGGCACACATTTGGGTGGCCTTAATGGAAAACAATTGCCACCCTCCACTCCCGCCAAGGCAGGCTCCACCCACCCTGCGGCACGGTTCAAAATTGCATTCCCAAAGCTATCATCCTCTTGTGGTTGTCAGGACACGTGGCGGCTGCCCTTGACTTCCATCTGGGATTTCTCAGAGGTCACCATTGTGAGGAGCCATCAGGATTGCAGTTCCTCTCTCTAGCCAGGCTTCCTCCAAGCCCTGGGGTGTGAGCCTTGTGCCCTCAGCCCCCTTTTCATCCCGCCTTGGCAAAGTCCTCTTTCTTCTCACATAGATCTTTTGAGATCAACAAAGTGAAGCTCAAATTCTTCTCTCTCCACTTTTCAGTTGCCAGTTTCCAAGCCAGCTCTTACCTCATTTGAATAACAGTGTCCTTGGAACCTCCACTTACTCCTTCAGTGCCTCCTTCCTCAAGCAGTCTCAAGTGCAGGGTGGCACCCTCTGGCCTTCAACTCCTGTCCCAAGTCCACCCCTCTTCCTGGGATGTGCACGCAAGCTGTACAAACTTCAAATAAGAGATTGTTATATTTGGTAGGGATCTTATTGACAATCTAAACAACTCTTCCATTTTTACCAGCAAAACTGGGTTCAGGAGAGATGAGATGATCAGTCCAACACTGTAGGCATCTGGTCACTCAACTGTGAACAGGACAAAAGTGTCTCGGTACCCCATGCTCTCCTTCTCATGTCCTGTTTTTGGGTTCCAGTTGCATTTACAGCACTCATTCCTGCCTTTTTATTTTCAAATCTTGCTGACCTACATGCATATATTTCTGTCTTGCTTTGTTCCAAAAAAATTCTGATGCTTGTGTGACTGTAATACAATAAAATACCAGTATGTAGATGGATGTTTTAAGTCAATATTTGAGAAAATACAGATAAGATGTAATGATAAAACCATAGGGAGAATTTTTTTTGTAGAAATTTATTCCATAAGGTGTTACTTGCTTAGTGAAGTTGAATTGCATATTAAAGCATGGGCTTCCTGGCAACCAAAGCAAAAAGGGAAAGTCTACAGTTGAAGACTCACATTGTCCATAAAAGAAAAATCAATTATTCAGAGGTAAGCTTTTCCTGGTCACATTTTACCTTATTTCTGACTCTTTTTCTTTTGTCTGAGGACGTACCTGTCATTTCTATCATTCAACTAAAGGTATGTTTATTTTCCTCCCATTCATTCCATCCAGGTTGCTGAACTATTCCCTGGCATTCTTCCAAACCAAGGCCAATCTCCATGGAACAATGACTGGCAGCTCTTCTTTGGTAACACGGCCTCCTGAACTTATCTTGCTGTTCTCCCTCCTTGTTTCTGCCCAAGGTTGTGTTCCTTCCTCAGAGACTGGCCAAGGGTGAACTGAGGGATGGCAGCTGCCACGTGACATGTTTGCCATGGAGCATTTACATTTGCCTGGTGCCTGAGCAGCTGGACATGGAGGCAAGAAACTCCCATCACTTGTGTTCATGTGCTGTTCAATGCTCCCGGGCAGCTGGAGAGGAAGACAAGGCAGGGAATTGGGGTCTCCTGTCATATCCACCTCCTGCTGCCATCACCGTCTGCACACAAGGCTGCAGGGAAGCCCTGTCTCCCTGCCCGTCACCAGGAGCCAAGGAAAAATACTCCAGGTGTAAGTGGCAGCTCAGGGGCCTCGAGGCAGGGTGCATCCTGTCTCCAGCAGAAACCAGCTGTTTCTCTGCAGTTTTTATACAGCATCTATTTTCATTATCTTTCTGTCCCTTTGCCTCTTTATCTTCCATCCATACTTTCAACCATCCCTTGCCTGTTTCAATAAATTATTTGAAGTAACATGGAATTTCAGATAACACAAAAGGATAGAGGAAGGCAGTCAGGGCCAAGCCTGCTTGCCTGGCGCCAGGGGCCTAGTGAGTAGGAATGACGGAGCCTTTGCAGTAAATTGAGTGCCATTACCCTCTAATGATGAGAAGCTACTGTTCTTCCTCTAACGACTTCAACTTTGAACTTCCTTTTCTCTTGGGCATCTTGTGGATTGACAAGCCGTCTCTTAGGACCATCCATGTTCCTATTAACATACTCAACCAGCGCAGATGATTGTCCAATAATAGTACAACATTTGTGTAATGCTTTACAACAGTAACTAATTGATTCTCAGGAGGAGAGGATTCCTACTGTGCTTAGGGATTTTGGGGTTCTGTTTTGTTTTCAGACTTCTGCCGAGGTCTCTCAGAAGAGCAGGAGGACTTCAAAGGGCAAACATCGCAGGTCACAGCTCAGCCTTTTTCTCAGACCTTCCCATAGCTTGATCAAGGATGGAGTGGGTGGGAGTAATGTTTGAGAAGGACAGTTGCAGGGATGGAGAGAGAGACCTAGTACCAGGGAAAGAACACAGAGCTAGAGGTAGGCTTAGACGTGAATCCTTGCTCAGCAACTGCCTTGCTGGGTGATCACAGGTTGGCCCCTTTGCCTCTCTGGGCCTCTTTTTCACCAGCTCTGAAAGATGGCATTGAATTAAGTGAATCCCAGACATTTCTCTAAGGTAAGCATTGGGAGTCTGTGCACTTCCTAACAAAGGCCTTTCATGAAGGAACAGTGCATAGTGCCCAGCTTGCAAATCTCGGGATTCTGTCTCATGTCAGGTTCTCAGTTCCTCTGCCTCACATTCCTTTATAGCTTGTTACAAAAGCTGAAAGGACAAAAATGAAGATAATGAAACACGGTGCAAAGAGTGAATCAGTCACTACGCCCCTCATTCCATACACAGTAAATTATCACCAGCTGTTGCCCAATTAAATGCAACAATCCAGCAGTGCACCAGCAGTTCACAGGAGATTCCAGTGCACACTGTGTACCCAGCTGAGCCACTTCCATGAAAACCCAGAGGATTTCAACATAAAAAACACATTTTTCCATAAACCACATTTGTGTTTTCACTAGAATCATTCCAATACAAAGACTTAGTGAACAGAAGTGGACTCTGTGAGCAAATTTTGCTCTGGATTTTTGTACACACTCTGCCTTTAGCTTCATGTAGAAGGGAGTCTGCAGGGAGAAGTTCTCATTACAAGTGCGGGGAGATTATCTAAAACTCTTAGTAATGCCCTGTAAGATGAGCAGATAAATGTAACGTCATGAGTAGGTGCTCTCTTGACGTTAAGCATTTAACTTAACTCATCATACATTTATTGTGCATCCTCCGGTGCCAGGCATTTTTCCAAGTCTCCGAAGTTGAAGATCAGTAAGACAGGGTTCCTGCTATGAGGAAACTCAAAGTCCAGTGCAATTGACAGGTGTGAAAATTATTAGACAATGTTACAATGTTGTAAGGGTGGTATTGGGATCTTGTATCAAAAAAGCAAGCATTCAGATGTTCAGGGGAGCCAGAGGAAGCTTCTAGAAGGAGCTGTGTTAGAGCTGGGACAAAGGCATGGCAAGCTCCTAATATACCTCATTATTTTCCTATAATATAGGGCTTGTTTAAGTAATGGTTTTCTATCAGCATGGATATGGTGAAAAGGGAACACTTTTACACTGCTGGTGGGAATGTAGACTAGTATAAATGCTATGAAAAACAGTGTGGAGACTCCTTAAAGAACTAAAGGTAGATCTAGTTTACCTTTGTTTGATCCAGCAATCCCATTACTGGGTATCTATCCGGAGAAAAAGAAGCCATTATACGAAAAAGCCACATGCATGTTTATAGCAGCACAATTCACAAGTGCAAAAATATAGAACCAGCCCAACTGCCCATCAATCAATCAACGAGTGGATAAAGAAATTGTGTGAGATATACATGCACACACACACGTATACATATACATACATATATATCTCAATATGCATATATATCACAATTTCTTTATATGTGTGTATGTATACACACATATACATACACACATATAAAGAAATATATGTATATGTATATATATACATACACGCATATAAAGAAATATATATATACATACACACACCATGGAATACTACTCAACCATGTATATACACACAGATACACACATATGTGTAATACATATATACACATATACATACATATATTTGTAAATACATATATACACATATACATATTGTAATATATGTATATGTGTATATATGTATATTATGTATATCACAATTTATATGTTTGTGTGTGTATATATGTGTGTATATGTATATTTATTTGTATGTATATGTACATGTATGTGTATATACACACATGCACATACATATATACACACATGCACATACAAATAAATGGTGATACATATATATACATATATAAAGATATATATACACACACACCATTGAATATTACTCAGCCACACAAAGGAATGAAATAATGGCATTTGCCGCAACCTGATGGAACTGGAGGCCATTAATCTAGGTGAAGGAACTCAGGAATGGAAAATGAAACATTGTATGTTCACACTCATAAGTGAGAGCTAAGCTATGGCAGTTTTCTTTTTAAACATATGTATTTTTTCACAAATTCTAATATGTATTTTTTAACCTTTTATTTAAAAATATTTTCTCATATCCATTAGGAATTGTGATTTCTCCGTAGTCCCATGGATTATTTAGAAATGGAATTCTTAATTTGTAAACAGATACGTATTTTATAATTATCTTCCCTTCATTCATTTTGACTTCTAGCATAATTGCATTGTCATCAGAGGGTACACTTGCTATAAATTCATTCTTTTAAAAATTGGTCATTTTTTGTTTATGACTCGATACATAGTTAATTTTTGTAACTATCTTTGGCATGATTTAAAAGTCTCTGTATTCTGTAGTTTGGGAGATAACATTCTATATATGTATAAGTCAAGTTTATTATTCAAGTTCTTTAAATCTCTATATTTTCACTATATGTTTATTGTTGTTTTGGTCTGCTCGGACCAATCATTAATGAGGGTTGTGCCAATATTTTTAATACCATTGTGAATTTTTCTATTTCTCCTTATAGTGGTAGCAATTTTTGTCTTGTATTTTGAGGCTATACTACTGACTGCACACAAATTTAGAATCACTTTTTATCTTCTGGGTGATTTTAATGTTCTATTGCTGTGCATTGCTCTCTTTATGAATGCGTTTTGCCTCATTTGTCTAGTATATCTAACATATTAGGTTTCTTTTGGTTGGTGTTTGAATGGTGTGTGCTTTTTCTTTTAACTTTTGACAGTTCTATGCATTTTATTTAACATATGATTTACATTTATATGTATAGAGTATATTTGGATTTTGTTTTTTTTTTCCCACTCTGTGGCATTTTTTATCTTTCTGCTGGGGCATTTAGTTTGTTTATATTAAATGAAATTACTGATATATTTATATTATTTTATGCTTCCTATCTGTCTGTTTCTTTTCCGTTTCTTCTCTGCATTTGTTTAGTGACTATCCTAAGAATTATAGCACTAATACTTGATTGATCTATATTAACAAATGCTTTTCTCCTCCTCTTGAACAATACAGTACCACATAAACTAGCTCCATCTCTTCACCTCCTGACTCACTGGCTGCCCGTCTCTCTTGCCCTTGGGAATGACAGGCTCGTTTAAGCATCTCCACAGCTAACTGTGGGCCAGGGTCCCTAGATGCCACTCAGATTTTGCCCGTCATTACAATCATTGTACCTACCTCCCTTCTAATGATCAAGCATTGTCACCTGACTTTTGGTTCTGGGGAATCCTATTGTGTTATGGATATCAGGGAACACAGTTCTGTATCATCATTCTCTACTGTCAGTCTTGACTTGAAGAGAGCAGCCACATTGAGCTTTCCTGTGAAACTGATGCGCTATTCAACAGAACACTCCTTGCTTTGGAAAACAGCCTCCGGTCCCTCCTGCAATGCTTAATTGGGTGGCATTCCACTCCTCCCTGCTAAAAATCAAGTGGTCTTCCATAGCACATTCACTCCAGCAACCCCACTTCTCTGAGACTTTTGATTTCTTTCTTCATGTTTGAGATGTTCTGGGATTTCTGTCTTTCTTAGCATGGGCTGGTGCTTTCTCCTGGCTTCCCAGTGTGTTCTAGCATCCTCTGCCCCCGCATGTCCCTGGCTAGCATCCTACCCCCCCATGTCCCTGGCCTGCATGCTCAACCCTTGGTTACAGGAGAGCCTGCCCTTGTCCTCCTATGTCTCACCTTCACCTTGAGGCCAGGCCTTCAGGCTCCACTCCCCCAGTTCCTGATGATAGGTGTTAGTAAGGTCCTGCAGCTCTTTTAGGGAAAGTCCTTCTCCTTCCTCAGCAGGCCCGACATGTTCCCAGCCATGTTGTGCTGGGACTTAAGTGTTGACCTGGTAGCTAGGAGAGCTGGTGGGATAGGTCTTAAGCAGAGATGAGGGACAGGAAGGAAGGAGCTCTGCCTCTCGTTCTCTTGTAAGGCAGTGGTCATGTACTCTTAGCAGGGAGGAGTGGATTACTTCTGCACGCCCAGAGGTTTGGGCAGATGAAGGGTGCTGAAAATTTCAAAAGCATGGATGTCCATGCTCCAGCCCCAAATCTCAGCACCCAGCTTCCCAAAGACGGATCTAACCCTGGTGTGGTAGTAGCTTTGCTCAAGTTGAGATTCTACTCCCGCTGGAGCTCTGCTACACTGGCAATGAACTTCCGGACCTAAATCTCAAACTTTCAGCCCCAAAGTGTCAATAACATTCAGCAATGGTCACTGGAGTCTCATGTTCTCAGAATTTTCTTATCCCTTAGATTTCTCAAATGCGTGGGGTGTCATGCCCTGTGTGTGCCCTGCAGTGTGTCCCTTCCTAGTTCGTGACTGTGAAACTGACAAGCGGTAGAGCATGCTGTGGCTCTTCATGCTTCTGTCCCTGGCTCCCAGTGATGAGGTCTTCACTGCCTGTCAGCCAGAAGGCTGCCCAGTTCTGGAATTCCATTTTAGAGTCAAATTCCTGAGACCAGGCCTGGCACCAGCTGTGCTAAGTTGGGTTCCTTAGGCAGCAGATTCAGATAGAAATCTGCCTCTATGGAGGACTGAAATAAGGACAACTGAACAAATGAAAGAATTTAACCGAAATGTAGTTAATGCAAAGGCCTCACGAATCCCAGAGGGAGCTCTGGACTCATTGTTGTCCTGTCTGGAGGCCAGGATGCCAGGTCTTTCTGCTCCCTGCACTAGCCCATCACAGGATGGAGGCTGTCCCTGTGAAGGGGAAGGGTCTCTTGCAGAGGCAGCTGTGTAGCATTGCAGGCAACTGGGATGATTCCTGGAGAATAATTTAGCCCTGAGCTGTCGGTGTTGCTGGAGATCCTCTAGGGAGGAATGCGGCGTTTGTGGCTGGTTTTCATAGTTTGAGGGGCTTGGGCTGTTTGAGGCCAGATTCAGAAAAGTTTTTATGGACTAATTTGTTTTTAAACTGGTAACGGCATTTGATCTGCATGGACCAGGAGGTTCCACATTCCAGAGATTCTGCTAGAGAGATGTACACCAAACAGGTTGAGACTTTAAATAAGAAAGAGTCTCTCTGTTCTCCCTCATATATTCACTATTCTTGTGAATGATCAGGACAAAAAAAAGTGGGCATTGAATTTCCATTGAAGAGAAACCAAGCTCATATCCAAGAATATCATCCAAGAATATTCTTATGGGGAATGCGAAAAATCAGAGAAGCTTCCCAAAGAAATTTGGAGTCTTGAGTTCTGGTAAAGGTGGCCAAGGCAGTGGAAGATGGGCAAGTGTGCCAAGCAGTTCTCCTGTATCTCACGGGCAGTGATTTCATGAAACATTGTTTCATGTTTGCTTACTTATAAATCAGTGAGATTGTAGAGAGTAGAAAAGATTAATAACGTGATGCTATGGACTGAATTGTGCCCTTCCAAATTCATATGCTGAAGCCCAAATCCCCAATGTGACAGTTTTAAGAGATGGTTCCTTATGCGATCATAAGCATGGGACTTTGACCCCACTAGTGTCCTTATGAGAAGAGGAAGAAACAGGCATGCAGGTGCACAGACAAAAAGCCATGCGAGGACACAGCAAGATGGTGCCATATTCCAAGCCAAGGAGAGAAGACTCAGAGGAATCCAACCTTGCGGACACCTTGATCTCAGCCTTCCAGCCTCCAGAACTGTGAGAAAGTAACATCTCTTGTTCACATCCCCAGTTCTTGGCACTTTGAACTGTGAAGCTCTGGCTGACTAAGGCACTGGGCAGCTTGTGAGGCATTTCTGGTACGCCAGTGTGCCTCAGGACAGTGGTTAGAAAGCTCGCCAGTGTGGAAATATCATTTAGGAGCACATGCATATGTAGGAAAAGTCACAGAAACAAACAAGAAAAGATATAAAAACAAACATAGAAATGTTAAAAATCCAATTTAAGCCAGTGGTTACCTCTGGGAGCTTATCCCTGGGGAAGGTGGAAGAGGAAGGTGAGGGAAGAATTGGTTCCAAGTGGGCTTCAGGCCAGGTGCGGTGGCTGTCTCCTGTGATCCCAGCATTTTGGGAGGCTGAGGCAGGTGGATTGCAAGGTTGAGAGATTGAGACCATTCTGGCCAACATGGTGAAACCCGTATCTCCTAAAAAAAAAAAAAAATTAAAAAATTAGCTGGGGGTGGTGACACATACCTATAGTCCCAGCTACTTGGGAGGCTGAGGCAGAAGAATCTCTTGAACCCAGAAGGTGAAGGTTGCAGTGAGCCAAGATCGTGCCACTGCACTCCAGCCTAGTGACAGAGCAGGACTCTGTCTCAAAAAAAAAAAAAAAAAAGTGGGCTTCAACTATATTTGCAATATTTTGTTTCTTCAGCTGGTTTTAGTTGCGTTGTTATTGTTTATATTTTTCTTTATATTATGTTGCATGCATTTTTCTTTCATAGATTAGAAAAAAGAATAGTAAAACATTTCCAAGAGATACTGATTAACTTAATAAATATGTGTTCAACTTGCTTTTCATGGTACTGATAGAATAGACAGGAAAAGGTAATTAAATACATACTTGGCCTTATTTTTCTTTTTCTTTTTAAGTTCGTACGGCCAGCAAAGCCTCACAAGCTCTACTAATACCTGTGGGCTAAGCCACTGAGAAATTCACATGACACTGCTGTTGATTTAGCCAAAGGACTAGTAGGGAGACTGTACTACTGGATCCACGCCAAATCAGAAACAAAGAACTCTATCCTAGTGTTCCTAGACTATAGTTATAAACAGAGAAACAAAGTATTTCCGATAAAAGCCAATTCATAAAATTGGGAGAAATGACCGTTACAGCAGATATGCAGATATTAATGTAAGGACACAAGAAACATTAAAAAACAAGAAATCGTGAAATCATTTTTCAGTGAAACTGTGTTGCCACTGACCAAGCCATCCTTTCCAATTCTGGTTCTGGACCCAACTTATAATTGGCTTTTTGCTTTTGCAAGGTGAACGGACTTATGGCTGCAGGGCTTCCCTATTTCAGGATCATACCTTCCGGTGTGATGTCTTCAGTCATTTGATGCACATTTAACACGAAGGTTTTATTTCTGCCATGAGGCCAGCCATCACTAAGATTTGCTGCAGATTCCATTCAGTTGTCCTTGTGGAAGTTTTTATGTCCTATGAAGTTCAAAATAATATGAATTGCTGTGGCCTGAATGTTTGTGTGTCCCCCAAAGTCATATATTAAATCCCTGACCCCCAGAGCGATGGCATTAGGAGGTGGGCCTTTAGGGGGTTCTTGGGTTTAGATGAGGTCATAAGGGCAGAGCTCTTGTGAATGGGACTAGTGCCCTTGTAAAAGAGGCTCAGCGAGATTGCCCACCCCTTCCACCCTATGAGATCACATGAAGAAAGTACCGTCTAAGTACCGAAAGCAGGCCCTCACTAGACCCTGAATCTCAAAGCACCTTGATTTTGGACTTCCCAGCCAACATCTGATTCCACAAACAACAGAGATGGGAGGTAAGTACAGCAGGTGCTGGGACTGTCCCATTGCGGGGGTGCAGAAGCAGAAACCTTCACACAGAGGCAAAGAAACAGATCGTGGTAGCAAGTGTCAATGCCAGAGGTTAAGATTGAAGCTTCTCCCTCCACATCATTTCTCCTTCATAAACCAAATCCACCCCCGAACCCCAGGGACCAAGCATGGCTTATAAGCATTCTCCTCCAGGGTGCAGGTACCATTCTGTCACCAGCAAGGAAGGCTGATAGGAAGGAGGTGAGAGCCACAGATCAGGAGGTCATTTCATGGGATCACAGGGTGCAAGCGGTTGGTGCTGCTCCCATTTTCTGGGTGTCGGTGACATTTCCTGAGGCTTTGCATGATCTCCGACAATCAGACCTAATGACAGCCTTTGTGGTAACCTGGCCAGGTCTGACTCAGCTCCAGCCCTGTGCTTAGGCAGCAGGAAGTGATCTCATCAACTCTGTGGGAAGTTCCTACATTGTACTGGAGAAAACAGAATCCAAAAAAATTCAATAGAAAAGAAAGTCCTCATCAGCAAGAATAGGAGTTTGAAACATAAGAAGTAATTAAGGTAGGAAGTTGGGAGCATTTTAGGTGGGAAATGTTATTAACTTTGATTTAGGAGCAGATAACTTGGTGCAAAATAGAAACAGGCAGTCAGGTCAAAGTCCCTTTTGTTTTATTCACACTTGCTATGCATATTATTCAAAACTTACAAAATGATATAACTTTCTCTCAAACAAGGTTTAAAAACCCTTTGATTAAGGAAGGTGTAAATGCTCCTTAATAAAATGGGGACCTACCAGACCCGAATCTGATTGTTTTAAAGTCTTCTCTTTAGCTTCCTGTTTCCAAGGGGATTTTTCCCCCAGAAATAGATTGCTTATTGGATGTTGCTGCTCTAATTTTGGAGACTGTATGTTCTAGGTATTCCGGGAGAGATCTGCATTTTAAATCCTGGATCCATTGTTCCCCAAAGCCACGTAAGAATCCCAAGAAAGACAGGCCCCTCCCATGGCTGTGTCCTACGTCCTACGGATACCGCTCTGAGCATTTTGTGGCTGAAGACATTAGTCTTTCATAGAAACTCTTGAAGAAAATATTATTGTTATTATTATCATATGCGTTTGGAAATGAAGACTTAGAAAGAGTCTAACTTGTTCAGTTTCTCAACCAGCATGTGCCAAAGTTCTGAAAGTCTGTTGTTCTAACCAGCATCCCACCTTGAGGAGCAATGATGTTCATCTGTCTGGTTGTCACAACTCGTGTCCTTCTGTGGGCAGCAGAGTTCCAAGACGTTCCCCAAGCTCTCCTTCTCTGAGGTGCATGCCTCCCGTGACCGCCTCTTTGGCTGCCCGCCGAGCCTGTGAAGATGGCATTATCACTCCTGTGTCGACTCCACTGATCAGGTCCTTTGAATCAATCAAAAGATAGATTATCCATGCGTGCCTGATTTTATCAGGTGGTCCCATAAGGAGCCTTAAAATGACTCTTTCTGAAGTAGAGTGATTGGAAAAGTAAGAGGGTCTGTGGGCAGGGTCACCTGGTAAGGACCTGAACTCAGCCTCCAGGGGCTCTGGCCACAGCTAACCTTTAGCAAGAAAGCAAATCTTTCCTTGGTCAGTCTTCACCACAGGACAAAGCTGGCTGAGCCCTTGCCTTTGGCCCTGTGAGATGCTGACGAGAGTATCCAGAGAACAGGTGCCAGAGTCCTGACACACAGAAACTGAGACGATGAGTCTATGGTTGCTTTAAGCCACTATGTCCACAGTAATTGGTTAGACAGCAATAGAAAACTAATAAGCCTCCCTCTTTTTCATTTACCATCTTTCTTTCCTTATGTCCACAAATATTTATTGAGCATTTATTCATGTATTAGAACATGTGCTAGGAATTGTAGTTACAATGGCCAGCAAAGCCAGATGAGGTCTCTGGCTTCACGTAGTTTATAACATCAAGAGGGAGACAGACATAAATCAAATAACATGGATACATGAAAAGCTGCAACTAAGATGACTGAGGAGACCCCATAGCCCAGCCCACGACAGTATATAGTAGTTACCTTGGTCTGGCCAGAGAGCACAGGAAACATGTTCCTTGGGGCATTAGCAATTAAGCAAGAGCTGAAAGTTGAGCAGTAATGGCCAAGGCCAACTTGAAGGGAAGGACAATGCAAGTAGAGGGAACAGCATGAACAAAATCTCTGTGCAGGTAAAATCGTACAAGTGCAAAGGACAAAAAGAAGGTCCTATGTGGCTGCACCCTGGCCACTGGGACAGGAGATGAGGCTGGGCTACTGCATACAAAGCCTAAAAGCCAAGAAGGGGCTTTCCCTTGTAGAAAGAACAGTGATGTCGTAGTCAGTTTGGGGTGCTATAATAAATTACCATATATTGGGTGGCTTGAATGACAGACACTGATTTTTCACAACTTTGGAGGCTGGGAGGGCCAAGATCAAGGTGCTGGCAGATTCAGTGTCTGGTGGGTCTGCTTCCTGGTTTGCAGATGGCCTTCTTTTCCTTCTATCCTCATATGGTTGAGACAGTGAAGAGAAAGGAAGCAAGCTCTTTCCTGTCTCTCCTTATGAGGGCATGCATCCCTCCACGAGGGCCCCACCCTCAGAACCCATCATCTCTTAAAGTCCCCCCCAATACCATCCCTTTGGAGCTTGGGGTTTTGACATATGAATTTGTGGGGAGACACACACACACTGTCCATAGCAAATGGAAAGCCGATTACAGGAGGACATCAAGTAAAAGGAATGCAGAAAGGCAGGTGGAAAGCAATTAGTATAGTCCTCAGGAGAACAGTGAGCTTCCACCTGAGTGATGGCACACGGGAGGAGAGAGGCGGGTCAGGGGCAGAGAGGAGGCAGGGTGTGTGGTTTGAAAATTGATTAGATAAGTGGAGCAAGAGAGAAGAGTAGCCAGCTTTGGCTCCACCGTCCTCAGAGAATTTGGAAGAGGAGGAAGAGGAGGAGAAGGAGAAGTGGGAGGAGGGGGAGGAGGAAAAGAAGGATGTGGGAGAGAAGAGGGCAAGGGAAAGTGGGGGGGAGGAGGATAGGAAAGAGTGACAGTCATTGGAAGGAAGGTGCGAGCCTGGTTTGCCCCTCTGGGGATGAAGGGTCCGTGATGCATTCTGGTGGAACTGCCACACATATCTACAGCCAAAGGCACAATCAGGAACATTTACTACATAGTAGAGGCGGCTGAAATGATGGCAGTGAATGGAATCTCAGATGATGAGAAAACAGAGAAAAAAGGCCAAGGATAGAACCATCTGGGCAGCCTCCACATCTTTCTCACCTCTTTGGGTGACTCAAATTTTCTCCTTCTTAAGTGAAGGAAAGTGGGTAGCATGCACTTCCTTTCGTTAACTATCTAATTAATAAAAAATGTAATCATAATAAAAATTATATGTATAAACTATAAAATGTAGATAATTTGAATTGTAGAGACTATGATGTGATATAGTAAGAATCGAGGCTCTGTCGTGATAACCTTGACATTAAGACAAAGACTCAGATACTTTATGACAGATTTAAATTGGGTGGTTTTATTAAGTTATAAACTGTCGATGTAGACAGCTGTGATCAGAGGACCTATGACTGTGCTGAATGTATGAGATACTATTGATTTCGTTTGTTTTTAGCTGAGATTCAATGTATTGTTAGTTTTTCGTTCAAGCAAATCTGGCAGGCATAATTTTGATCTGAAAATGAATGCAGAGAAAGATTTTATACATTATGGACTCATCAAATTATATGAGAACGTCTACATTTAGAAATACAGGGTGTGTTGGCTCACGCCTGTAATCCCAGAGTTTTGGGAGGCTGAGACAGGAGGATCACTTGAGGCCAGGAGTTGAAGACCAGTCTCAGCTACATAGTGAGACCTCGTCTCCACACACACACATACACATGCACACACAATAAATACACATAAAAAATAGGCACAGTGGGTCACACTTGCAGTCCCAGCTACTGAGGAGGCTGAGGCGGGAGGGTTGTTTGAGTCAGGAGTTGGAGGTTGCAGTGCACTGTGATTGTACCACTGCACTCCTGGGAAATAGAGCAACGACATGACAAAAAAAAGAAAAGACGAAAGAAAGAAAGAAAGAGAAAGAAAGAAAGAAAGAAAAGAAAGAAAGAAAGAAAGAGAAAGAAAGAGAGAGAGAGAAAGAAAAAGAAAGAAAGAAAAAGAGAGGAAAGAAGGAAAGAAAAAGAAAGAAAGAAAGAAAGAAAGAAAGAAGACATATATTTGATTTCCATTTGTATTCAGGCAGAATGGATTCCAATCCGAGTTCTGTATGTACCATCTCTATGACTCTGTGGCCCTTGTTTATTCTATGATACACTTAACTTCTTGGGCTGCTTGTGAAAATTTTAGGGCATCAAGCAAGTGAAGGGTCTAGAAAGTAGTGGTTAATTGGTCAGTAGTAATTGTTTTCCCTGGCTGTCAGGGGTCACCTTTTTTTAATCTAAAGGGGATGATCTAGGCTCCAGTTCTGGGTCTACTTTTCCCCCAAATAAAATCCTATCCTCTCAAGAAGTAAAGTAAGAAAACAGTGAAAGTGTCTATAATATTACCTAAATGTCTCCTGGGGTACTGTGAATGGAGTTAGGGAGTTCATAAAAAATTCTAGCATTTCATTCATTTTCAGCTGCTATCTCTGACATATGGAAGGCTGTAATTTCACAGGGAAGTGAAGCCTTACCTCCTACCAGGTGTTAATATATTTTAAGCAAAGAGATATTACAACTCTGAAATTATTGAAAACCTATGTTCTTTCCCTGCAATTGCTTGAGGCAGATTTTGAAAGCCACATTTTGAAATCAGCCTATGATGTCATCAGAACTAGCTGCAATCGAGGTGACACAGTTGATGACTCTCTGGGTAGGGCTGGTGTGAGAGACTCTCTGGGTAGGGCTGGTGTGGTAAACATTTGGGCTTAAGAAAGCTGGAGGACAGATCTAGTTTTAGATTTTTATTATGCAGTTTTATCCTTATTCTCTTAAAAATTGTACAACTCTCAACTCTCCAAACAAATGAACATTTCATTGCTCTGTATTCTAAAGCAATTTTTTAAAACTTGCTTTCTTTCTTTTTCTCAGCTCTCCATCTCTCAAAAGGTTAAAAATAAGGTAGATTGCTTGTGTCCTCTCCATGCACCCAGTTTCGGCTCATTTTAAGTGTTTAGTTGACTTAAATAGCCTTCGATTCATCTTGGCACTATTTCGACTTACCAAGAAGATGTAAGGACGTATGTGATTTACTGCCATGATAGCATGTTGGAGAGGTATGCTGTGTGTGTGCACACGTGTGTGTGTGAATGTGTGTTTGCGTCTCCCAAGGAGCAGCAGCAGTGCCTGGTATTAGCTCTGTTCCTATTTTTGTCTTTCGCCATCACTGCTGTCACTGAGCCCACTGTCATCTGGTAGGAATATTTACCCGCTGGATCTGACTTGGCCGGGTAGCAGTGAACACACATCTGGAGTCTAGACTTGGCGGCTCTGTGGGCAGGCTCACAGCCCAGGGCTCCGTCAGCCCCAGGGCTCCAACACTCCGGCGCCCTGCTTTGTTGACATAGCTGGTGGGCTGCCTCATCAGTTTCAGCTGCCGGACCCCCTGCCCGCCCCCAGCCTTCCCCATCCCTGCCATATCCCAGCTCTGTCTGTGCACTTTGGAGAGCCACCAGAGGAGTCCCTCCCCTGCTTCCTTCGGTGAGCCCCTCTACTCAGGATGCTTTCCTGGAGGAGAAAGGAAGGAGGAATCCATGTTAATGTGGAAGCTGCAGCCAATGGTTCTGCTTCAGAGATGAGGGGTTGCTTTGCATTGGAGAGAAGAGCTCTGATAAATGCACTAAGCTCAAGAGACAAAAAAAATCTGATGGGATAAAACCGATATATACATTGAAGTATCTGATTTAGGTTTAAATCATATACTCAGCCGTTATACCACATGTGTGGCCTGGAAGGTCTTTGAAGCTCAAATTCATTATCTATAAATTCAGGGGAAGAGTGATGACCGCAAGACGTTGTAGGGCAGGACATCAACCTGAATAAAGATAAAAGGTCTAGTTCAATGTCGGCCTTAAAGTGGCAAATAAAAATTCGTTCCCTTTTTCGTAGTCTATGTTTTCTAGTCTAGTCTTTTACACAAATGAGAGTTATTCTTTGACTCAAGGCAAGAAAAACATCCTTGAGATTTGCTAAAATTAGAGGATGCTTATGGGGAAACCTTCATGTGAGATGAGAAGTTTTTGAAAAAGGTCCAACAGCAATACCTGCTTTTAGATAGAAAGTAACAGAGACAGAGGTGACCACATTCTTGTGGCAACACTTCCCATGTGAGATCTTGTTTTCTCTTCTCTACTTTTATAAAATGAAACTAGTGTGAGGCTTTGATAATGGATTGGTGACTTCTGTAGAATCAGGCTGAGCCCCCCGTGAGTTGGGGTTCCCCTGAAACGTCAAGCTTGACATTTGAGAGACTCTTAATGCACATGCATTGGTCTATGCTTTAACTGCAATGGGTTCTTACTGTATTTCCCTCACAAGAAGGCTAAAACATATGTAACAGTTATTTTCATAGGTCCCTCATCAGTTATATCTGCAATAAAATGATACCTAAATCAATTTCTTTCAAAAACAATTATTTGGATGTCTACCTAGCAAATGGAAGTGTTTGAGAAATTATCAGTTTCTTTTGGAAAGTCTATTTTATCATACTGGTTGGGAAACCATGGTCTGCAGCCCGCAGACAGAAACTGTAGCTCCGCCTCCAAGCCTAAAATATGTACTCTCTGGCTCCTTACAGAAATGCTTGTGGATACTTGTAATTATATAAATCAATAAAATTAAAAAGTGCAGTTCTCTTTTAAAATTGGGAATACCTGTCAGTATAGTGTGACCGTGGTATTTTCTGGTTTATCATCCACCCTGCATGCTCATTGACCACGGTATTCTGAGCGAGTGAGGACTGCTGTGACAGAGCACCAGTGGACTGCCTGGTGGCTTAAGCAGCAAACATTTATTTCTCACAGTTCTGGAGGCTAAAACTCCAAGTTCAAGGACAATTTGACTGGAGAGGGCCCTCTTCCTGGCTTACAGATGGCTGCCTTCTCACGGTGTCCTCACATGGAGAAGAAGAGACCTCTTCTGTTTCTTTTCTTTTTTCTTTTCTTTTCTTTTTTCTTTTTCTTAGAGCTTCACTCTTTTTTCCCCGGTTGGAGTGCAATGGAGTGATATGGGCTCACTGCAACATCCACCTCCCAGGTTCAAGCAATTCTCCTGCCTCAGCCTGCAAAGTAGCCGGGATTACAGGCGCCCCCTACCACAGCCGGCTGAGTTTTGTATTTTCAGTTGAGATGGGGTTTCACCTTGTTGACCAGGCTGTTCTTGAACTCCTGACCTCAGGTGATCTGCCTGCCTCAGTCTCTCAAAGTGTTGGGATTATAGGTGTGAGCCACCACACCTGGCCTCTGTTTCTTTTGTTATAGATTCTAATCCTATTGTGGAGGCTCCACCCTTGTGACCTCCTCTAACTCTGATTTCCTTCTAAGGGCCTTATCTTCAAATACCATCACATTGGAGGTTAGGGCTTCTACATTTGCATTTTAGAAAGGAGGGGAATGCAAACGTTCAGCCTACAACAATTGCATGATACATTATTTACCATGGTGTAGAAAGCCTTTCTTTTTCTGACCTTAACACGGCAACTTCATTCCACGGTACTCATCTCTACCCACCTTATGTTCCATACAAATGATGGGTACTCACAATAGTCTGTGGGAACGTAAATGGGGGAAGAGAGAGTTCTGTCTGAAGCCACCAGAGACATTTAAGTGAAAAAGAGTATATATGAGTTGAAGAATAGCAGATAAACCGGCCACAGGTGTTCTAGCCTGTCTAAGCAGCACAGCCCAGCCTGGCTAGAGGCGTGAAATGCTGTGATGTGCTCCAGGAACCAAGTCATGTCAAAGAGCAAGAGATCGGGCAAGTGAGGCAGAGCTGCATTCACAGATCCACTCTGCTACTGACCAGAGGAGCATCTCTGGGAAAGTACTTCGGTTCCTAAGTTTCAGTATTCTCACCTGTGAAATGAGAAAATTAATGGCACCTGCCTTCTTTTTGTTTTTTTTTTGAGACGGAGTTTCGCTCTTGTTACCCAGGCTGGAGTGCAATGGCGCAATCTCGGCTCACCACAACCTCCGCCCCCTGGGTTCAGGCAATTCTCCTGCCTCAGCCTCCTGAGTAGCTGGGATTACAGGCACGCACCACCGTGCCCAGCTAATTTTTTGTAATTTTTAGTAGAGACGGGGTTTCACCATGTTGACCAGGATGGTCTCGATCTGTTGACCTCGTGATCCACCCGCCTCGGCCTCCCAAAGTGCTGGGATTACAGGCTTGAGCCACCGCGCCCGGCCCTGGCACCTGCCTTCTAAGGTTGCTGTCCTTGTCGTTACATATAACATCTCCACCATGGTCCTCCCTCATTAAAGCAAACTCAGCTCAAAGAAACATAAGCTAAAGAAAATACCAGCCCAGACAGAGCCCCATCTCCATGTCTGTTGCCTGCTGGTCAAGGCCACACTCAGGGATGTCTCCTTGCACTTTGGAATCCTGATGAAAACACTGCGTAGTGCAGTTTGTCTTAAAAGAATTGTACCACCTAAAGTGTCTGAAATCATGGTCAGCAAGCTCTTTGCCTGCTATTACGATACAGACATGCTTGTGGCTGTAACAGTGACCTAGAATCAGGGTTTTGATTTATATTTGGTTTGGGTTTGGTTTAACCACCTATCATGTTCCAGCTTGTTGACTAGTAGCAAAAATCTAGCAGGTTAACCAGACTAGTATTTCAGTTTTAGCAACATGAAAGTATATGGAAATATAATCACTTGAAGGGTGAATTTTGTCTTTATTACATTTTAACGTCATTGGCTTGTACAATCAGTTACATAAATAGATTTTAAAAATCAGGTGCCTTCAATATGATTCCATCAATCTTTAGCATTCTATTTTAGATTTATAATATTTTAACTCTGGGGACAAATATATTATTTAATACTTAAAGCGAAAATTTCTAGCATTAACATATGTACTTACTTCTATTTTTTTTGCTTCATATAAGTGAAAAATTAGCCCAAATAAAGAATAAGATACCTAGTAGACCTTCTTTTTGTAGTCACCAGTCACCAGAATTAATTGGTGCATAAGTCAAAGACTGTGGGATGAAGGACTTGGTGTGTCATCAAGCAGTCCGGAGACCAGTTAGCATTGTTCAGTGAGTGTGGGCATATGTGTGTGCCTGTCAAGTGTGTGTGTGCATAAACCTGTGTGCATGCGTGACTGTGTGTACATGTGTTTACACGCCTGACAATGTGTGTACCTGCATAAATATGCATATGCCAATAGGCTTAAGCATGAAATAAGCTGATGTTTGCACATGAGGAAATACCTGTCCCTTAAATAAGGCGGCATTGGCTGGGCACCGTGGCTCATGCGTGTAATCCCAGCACTTTGTGAGGCAGAGGAGGGCAGATCACGAGGTCAGGAGTTGGAGATCAGCCTGGCCAACATGGCGCCACCCCATCTCTACTAAAAACACACACACACACACACACACACACACACACAAAATAGCTGGGTGTGGTGGTTTATTTCTGTAGCTCTAGCTACTCGGGAGGCTGAGGCAAGAGAATCACTTGAACCTGGGAGGTGGAGGTTGCAGTGAGCTGAGATCACACCACTGCACTCCAGCCTGAGTGACAGAGTGAGACTCCATCTAGAGAAAAAAAGAATAGGCAGCATTGGCACCATTGAAATTTTCTCAAGGGATAGAAATCACGTGGAAATCTTGTCCCTATTGAATAAGACAAGCTCCAGGGTCCCCTAATGACATTCTTGCCTTTGGGTGGAGGTCTTGCTGCATTTAGCAGCGGGACGTGATTTTGAGTCATGAGCTGCTCTCCCCAGTAGCTGGGCTCCTTCTGAGCTGATGGGCAGAAGCCAGAATTCTACGGAGAAGCTGGCTCACACCATGCTCTATCTGTGACAAGCTGGTTTGGCACATGAAGTGGGAACATCTTCATTGTCACCAGCAGGACCAGCAGCAGAAGCAGATTTTGCTTTTCTGTGGCATGCCCCTCCCTGTACTGTTTTTCTCTTTCTCCTCCTCCTCCTCCTCCTCCTCCTCCTCCTTCCCCTCCTCCTCCTCCTCCTTCCCCTCCTCCTCCTCCTCCTTCCCCTCCTCCTCCTCCTCCTTCCCCTCCTCCTCCTCCTCCTTCCCCTCCTCCTCCTCCCCCTCCTCCTCCTCCTCCTCCTCTTCCTTCTCCTCCTCCTCCTCCTCCCTCTTCCTCTTCCTCCCTTTCAAGGAGGCAATTTTCAGGAGCTAGTTTTAGAGAAGGTCAGCACTGGGGGGTCTTAAAGAGAGTTTACCAGGTCTCACTGTTTTATAAATGAAGGATTCAAGGGCCAGAAAAGGGCCTTTTCCAACACCAGGCCACACCATCATTGATATAGCCAGAAACAGAAATGGCATCTCCAGGATTCTATTCAGGGCTCTTTCTACCACCAAATGCTTTCATGTCTTCTAAAGAGACTAAAAAGAAATTTACTTTATTATTATTATTATTTCCATAGGTTTTTGGGGATCAGGTGGTGTTTGGCTACATGAATAAGTTCTTTAGTGGTGATTTGTGACATTCTGGTGCACCCACCACCTGAGCAGTGTGTACCACACTCAATTTGTGGTCTTTTATCCCTCACCTCCTTTCCACTCTTTCCCCCTGAATCCCCAAAGTCTATTGTGTCATTCTCATGCCTCTGTAACCTGGTAGTTTAGTTCCCAGTTTTTAAAGCTACATTTTACACATTGGGACATTTCTCTACTATGGTCTCTGGCATATAATATACCTTCAGAAATTATTGTTTGAATGAATTAATAAAATAATGAATTGAATTACATTTCAATGGTCTAGAGAAAGTATCAAGAGGGAACTTTTCATGGTATCTTTCTGTAAGGAGAGATCCTTTAGCTATTACACTGAACACATTTTCCGGCACATGGTACTCAATGAATTCTAGCAAAAGACATCATTGTTGAGATCCGCTGTCTTGTTCTTTTCTGCTGCGGTGCTGTTCTGCCTATATCTAGCTTTGCTGCTGATATTAAACTAAGAAGATTCTGAATGAAGTCAGTGAAATAATCCAGTTGAAACAAGCCCTAAAATTGTTCCCAAGGTAGGCACTCAGCTTCTGAAGCTTTGGAGAAGGTGGAGCATCCTGCACATGAGTCCACCCTTTACAAAGGTGGGTGAACTTTGTAGGCTCCACTGTGTCACCACTTACAAAGGACCTGATGGCACCTGCTGCAAGCAAGGCCAACGCCCACTGAAGAGCCACCGGTACTGGGGAGGTGCTGTCATCAGAAGGTTACCAGCCTAACATCTCTCCGTTGCCATTGCCATTGGCGAACCGCTTCCCACCTGGAGCATTTGACCAATTGTGTTTCAATTAGTAAAATTCTAATATCTCTGTGCTGATTTATAAGATATTTAACAGATCTCCAAAGCCTATATTTGTGTAATCATAAGTAAAAGTAATGTAAGTGAATAGGTGACTTTCTCTATAGTTAAAAAAATGCTTTCATCATCTCCTTGATTCTTCATGAATCTTAAGAGATAAAACAATCTCATTCTTAAAAATGAAGCTCAAAGAAGTTGTGACCAGCCAGCAGTAGAACCCAAGCAATGCTTTTCATTTGTTTTGATTCTTACTGTATTACATTGTCACAGTGAGCTCTGTTTCTAATCATGTATAGGCCATTGCTGGGTGAGAACTGGGCAAATGGCACCCAGGGAACCATACCATTATTTCCCCAGCCCCCCACTGTATCACACACCACTACCCTCTGCTGCATGCATTGCAATATGGGCTTTGTTGATTCACATGGTCTTTGGGTAAAAGGGTGAAGAAAATGGCAGGTTTTGGAGACTATAGATGAAAGAAAAAATATTAATCATATATATTCAGAATAGTTGGTAGATAGAAACTCAATCCTAATCCTACCTCTGTCAGTTTGTGAAGTGTGCACAAGCTGCTTCCATTTCTAGAGGAGTCTTCTCATCTACACATTGCAGAAATTGTATTTAATAGTCACTTGGGTTAGTCAGCTCTAAAAGCCCATCTTTATAGATGCTGTACCTTCTATAAAGAACTGGGTCCTGGCTGAGTGTGGTGGCTCATGCCTGCAATCCCAGCACTTTGGGAGGCTGAGATGGGTGGATCATGAGATCAGGAATTTGAGACCAGCCTGGCCAACATTGTGAAACCCTGTCTTTACTAAAAATACAAAAATTATCCAGGCATGGTGGCTCACGCCTGTAATCCCAGCTACTCAAGAGGCTGAGGCAGGAGAATTGCTTGTACCTGGGAGGCGGAAGTTGCAGTGAGCCAAGATGGTGCCATTGCACTCCAGCCTGGGTGATAGACCAAGACTCTGCCTCAAAAATAAACAAACAAACAAACAAACAAGCAAATAAAAGAACTGGGTCCTATTAAAGTCTTTATACGGTAATCTCAGGTTATGCCTTATCTATCTAGTTTTGACCTCTCAAAAGCCAAACTATGAGAATCAGCATTTCTATAAAAGTCCATATTGGCACTTCCTTTCACAAAAAAGTGAATGAATGTATACAGCGAGACCCGGTGGCCTGTGGTGGTCTGGGTTTCAGTTCCAGTTCAACCACTCTTTAGCTGTGTGGCCTTGGACACATTGTCTAATGTATCCCCTAAATTGAGGATTAAAATAACACTTCAGAGAGTTGTTGAGTGAATCTAAAAAACTGGTAATGCAAATGTTTGTCATTACTTCTAACTTGTAATAAATTCCATGTACACTTTAATTGGAAATTTTCATCCTTTGCCTGGTGTATTCTCATTTTCCTACCAGATCACTCACTCCTTAGCCCAGGGGATGAGTTATGGTTGGACGAAGGCAGGCCTGGCTGTCTTGCTCTTTCCCGTCCATTCTCATGGTGTGATAGGATTTGGGCCCATGGCATGTGATAAGAGCTCTGCTTAGGGGCTTTGGGGAAAGATTTTGCTCCACAATAACAGACGGAGGCACTGGAGGAGAAGGCGCTGTGACACCAGCACTTCTCCATCTTACTCAGAGCTGTTCAGTGAGAATAAGATATTAGAAGCCACAACAGCTGTGACTTTAAGAGGAGACCTTCCTGACAGTACTGGGACAAAGGGGCAGGAGGGAGAAACAACTTGAGTCAAGTTTGTTGAGCTTCAGAACCAACTCTGCAACCAGCTCTATCCAGTCCTTATTTCCCACGAAATAATGAAATGTCTCTGTGTTTAAGTCACAGTTTATCAGTTATTTTGTTATATGCTCCCCAAAGCTTTCTTTTCTTTTCTCTTCTTTCCTTCTTTCTCTTCTTTCTTTCTCTCTTTCTCTTTCTTTCTTTCTCTTTCTTTCTTTCTTTCTTTCTTTCTTTCTTTCTTTCTTTCTTTCTTTCTTTTTCTTTCTTCTTTCTTTCTCTCCCTCCCTCCCTCCCTTCTTCCTTCCTTCCTTCCTTCCTTCCCTCCTTCCTCCCTCCCTCCCTCCCTCCCTCCCTCCCTCCCTCCCCTCCCTCCCCTCCCTCCCTCCTTCCTTCCTTCCTTCCTTCCTTCCTTCCTTCCTTCCTTCCTTCCTTCCTTCTTTTCCTTTCTTTCTTTTTTGTTTTTTTGAGATGAAGTTTCTCTTTTGTTGCCCAGGGTGGAGTGCAGTGGCATGGTCTTGGCTCACTGCAACCTCCACCTTTTGGGTTCAAGCAATTCTGCTTCAGCCTCTCGAGTAGCTGGGATTACAGGCATGTGCCACCACTCAGGCTAATTTTATATTTTTAAAGAGATGGGGTTTCTCTGTGTTGGTCAGGCTGGTCTCAAACTCCTGACCTCAGGTGATTCGCCCACCTCCGCCTCCCAGAGTGCTGGGATTATAGGCACGAGCCACTGTGCCTGGCCCAAAGCATTCTTAATATGGTCTAGACATGTGGTAACCTTGTCCCTTAATCAAGTCAGACCACAGCAAGGAGGAAAAACACAATGAATACTAAATCAGCCTAGCATAGTTGCCACAGACAAACACGAGATTTAGTTCTGGGCTTCCTGGCTGCTGGGGGAAAAACACACATGAAATTTTGCATAGCATGCAAGATCAGAAGGAAGAAAACCATCAACTGGAGTAGCCAAAACTGTTTTGTAATGCATTTGGAAAGCCATTTCCCACATTCAGCATCATAGAGGTGAAACTGGAAGGTTAAATGTGCATCTCCTTGACAGTTTTACATCAAACTTCATTTGTTTTTATAAATGGCTGGTTTTTTTTAATAAGTAACCTTATTATCACTTAAAGTCCAAAGCAAGGACATTGTTCTAAAGTGCAACTCTGGCTGTTTTCTGTGTGGCTTCCTGCTCTTTTTCCTGGTTCTAATTTTCTACCCTACTTCATTCAACTGGTCTCCGCCTGACTTTGTTCCTTCGATGAAATTGCTTCACATCCTTTCACAACCAGAGAGAAAATTTATTTAGTGGTGTGAAAACATCCGAAGTTTAAATTACATGGATTCATGTCAGCACGTGTAGATGACAATGTGTATCATGATCTTCTAGGATCCAGACAGAAATAAAGTGAGCTCTGCCCTTAACCAGGTCCCCTCTCTGCTGACAGCTGAGGCAGGGCTTTGGCAGCATCTGTGGGGCTGTCCTGGGTGGAGGGAGCCTTGGAAAGCTCCAGGATAAATGGGGTGGGAGGGGTGCCAGCATGGATGGAGCACACACCCTAGGAATCACATTCTGTCCGGAGAGGAAAGTACTGGCAGGAAATGCATATTGATTATTGATGACCAATTGCTTGGGCAGTGATTGCCTGGTACAATTACACTTTTGCTTTCTTTTCAAATAATGATCTCAGCTTTCAGCTCAGACTAATTAGTGTCTGTTATGGATGCATCAACAATCTCTGTTCCTGCCTGGATAAGATTAGAAATGGCCGAGGAGGCACAGGAGAGACTTCAGTATTTCTGAACTCTAGCTCTGCTAGTGCACGCTAGGGGAATAACATAACTTTTATCCCAGAACATGTGA